TTCTGCTTAATGCAAAGTGATACTCAAAAAGTTATAATTCCAACTAAGGTAGGTTAATTCACAAAAGTCCAGTCTTGAAGGGCAAGGGGACATTTCAGTAACTTCCCAAGATGATGCTGCTTATGCAGACTCATAAGGAAAAGCTGAGGGGGTTTTGAACTAATTCAATTTCTAATCACCTGGCTCTGGATGCAAACTTCAAATATTAACTCCCTCCATAAAATTCCCTACCAAAAGGAGGTAGGGAGGCTCTTCCAGTTAAGTACTAGCAGCCTCATTTTCAGAGGTACATGGCATCTATAGCTCAATCCAACAGGAATGTCACTGTTCACTGCCATGGGAAACTTGAGCTCTTCACCTCTTTCTGTTTTAGCTTACTTATTGTGGTTCATGCTTATCTGCCTGCCATGAATGTCATGAGGTTCAATTAGTTGTGGTCTGTAAAACACACTGAGATCCCCCAGAAAACCTGTATATGCATTCACAGTAGGATCCCTCCAAGATAATTTTATTGGAATCCCCAGAGGATTCAGCCCAAGCAGCCAAAGGACAACTCCAAAGACAAGGTACTCAAAGCATTAAACTGCCTGCAATCCCAATCTGTAGCTTGAAGATACGAAGTTTCAGGGGCAGCATTATGGTACAATACATACTGAAACTGATGTGAGAGTTAACAGTTTTACAGAAAAGTGCTAAAAACATTATCCTCAGCACCTTCAGAATAAATAAAGTAAGTAGAAGAAAACCCCCACCTTAAAATGGAAATATTAGGGAGGGGAAATGGAAATCAACAATACTAACAAAAAAAGCATCATGTATTTTTTTTAAAATATCCCAAACAGCGTAAAGTTGCCCAGACTCCTGTATTCATTAAATGTTCAGGACACAGATTTATTTATTTATGGTTCAGAAAAGAATTCCCAGCTCGGAGCCTTTTCAGACAACAACCCTCCCCAGTTCTGCATGGCCACCTCGGCCAACTTGCCCTGCCATTTCTTATTCTGATGCTAATGCAGTTCAAACAACCCAACCCTGCATTTTTTATCTAAGCAATAAGCCTATCTTTAGGTCACTTAGTTGTGTCAGTTTAAATCGTAACATTCCCATAGTGAAAAATCAGATCATTTTTTTATTTCTCGGAACAGAGAAGGCAGAAGAAAAAACCCCTCATTATAGAAACACTTTTTGTGGTGCCTAATTTAAGCCCCACTGGATCTGTGTGAATTTAAACAGCAGCTGAACCACAAGAAACAACAAATTTTAAACAAGATTGGCACAGTTACCTTCATGACAGGGTACCGTGAAAATACCTGACCGTGCACATGCCTATCATATTATACTTATATATATTATTAGGTCTTATCCAAAGTCTGCTGGAATAAAGGTCAAGATCCCATTGATCTCCGAGGGTTTCAGATCTCTTTCTTTTGTAAAATAAGCCTGGATTCTGCTACTCCAGCATTCACAAGCATCTGCACAGGAATATTCACAAGGCTTCTCACAAGAGGGAAAAACCATGAAGCTGAAGCCATCCATGAAAGGTACTGGATTTATTCCAGATGCGGAACTGTTTTTAATTAATTTGGAAGTATTTGAAGTATTCACTCATTAAATATGCTTTGCATTTCACACATTCGAGTAAGAGAGCAAGAAAACCCAAAATTAAAGCCAAAATCATAATGTCTTATTGAAAAGACTCTGACACCACTTTCAGCAAGACTAGGCTCATATGAAGACAAAAGTTACAGCATTGCCATGACACACTATGTAAAGCACACAGTTCCTGCACTGCCCATCCACCCCTAAGCAACCTCACCTTGACCTGGAGGAGTCACTGCTTGGGAGCTCTTCTATTTCCACTAAGCCTTGCACCTCTCCACACGGGCCATTCCCCAGTGTGCTCACTCATATCACATGGAGCAATGCTTTAAGTTTAAGATACCTATCCTCTACAGAAGAATGAAACAACTTATGCTAAATCTATGTGTCAAATCATCACTACCGGTAAAAATCACCAAATCACAGAATATTCTAAGTTGGAAGGGACTTACAAGGATCACTGAGTCCAGCTCTTGGCCCTGCACAGGACAGCCCCAAGAGTCACACCAGGTACCTGAGAGAGTTGTCCAAACATTTCTTGAACTCTTGTCAAGCTGTGACCACTTTCCTGGGGAGCCTGTTCCAGTGCCCCAACACCCTCTGCATAAAGTACCTTTTCCTAACATCCAACCTACACTTCCCCTGACACAACTTCAGGCCATTCCCTCGGGTCCTGTCACTGGTCACCACAGAGGAGTGGTGCCTGCCCCTCTGCTTCCTCTCATGAGGAAGCTGCAGACTCTACGGCGTCTCCCCTCAGTCTCCTCTTCTCCAGGCTGAAGCCAGGTGAGAGGAAGGTTGTGCACAGTGATGCATGGGCAGGTCCACATGCAGCAAACCACAGACCAGCCCAGCACAGATGAAGCATGGGCCACATTTCTCCTGCATCCAAACTTGACTCGGGACACAGTTCACCCCAGAAGCTGGATGTTCCTTGGGAAGAGTACCTGTATCAGCCCACGCTATACCCCACGCGAGCACCGCTGGATGTTCCCAGCATCCTGAGGATCTAGATTAGGTTGGCTATATCCACCGCTCAGTGCAAAACCACGTGTAGACAACCCCGTACCGGGTACTCCCTCCGTGGAGTCCGACACTGGGATAACGCAGCTCTCGCCTCCCCTCTAGTGGCTCGCCCACCGCCGCCGCTCCCGTGTCCTGCTCCCGTTGCCAGCGGCCATGGGGTGGATGGAGCGTGTCCCCTGGCAAAGCCATCCCAACCTGAGCCGCTCTTTCTCGGAGACCGGGCTCAGTGCCACGGCCAGGCAGGGATACTGCTGCACAGGGAAAACGCGTAAGGCAGAACTGAGCGCATCTGGGCAGAAGCACAGCTTTTCTGCTTCCCTGGAAGTTCAAGACTCCTAGTTTTCAGATGAGGTGAGCAAAATTGCCATATAGTACAGAGAGCCACAGCTACGTTCAGAAAACAGTTGTATTTTTAGTTATTTCTCAGTGATCCAAAAGAATCAAATAGATGGTGGCTACAAAACACTCAAACTTTTTTCTGCCCAAAGTTTTATATTAGACAACAACAGTTTTATCTCCAAGGCTCAAAATAAACTCTAGTGATCACCAGACAGGTCAGTTTCTAAGGGATCTCAATTTTACCAAGTGCTACCAAACTGTGTCTGATGCTCTTCTGTTCACAACAAGCATACAAACATATAAAACCCCCAAAACTTCACATTTCTTCACAAGTCATGTTCCCCCCCTAAAAAAACCCAAGCAGGAACATTCCAGTTTCTTTCCTTTGGTTGCCAGTGCTAAAATATGCTAACAGCATTAAGGCAAAGGACGACTTGAAGAGCTCACAATCTGTATTCAGCATAATTAGCAGATGCCAATTTAACTTATTACTGCTTCTTCCTTTCTATATTATAAAAAGGATGTCAATGAAAACCTGTTATCTAAATGACTGTTTTCTCAGTGCTAATAGAAAGCAACAATCATGGGAAAACAGAATCAAAGAACGTGGGTTAGGAAAAATCTGATTTTGAAATGACATTATAAAAAGCTACAGTAAAGAAAGAAATTAATGCCTGCAGACAGGACTTTTCTCTCTTTCTTCGCACTTAGTATTTTTAGGCTGTTTTAAAAGTAATTACGTATTTGGTGGTATACCTGGTTATTCAGAAAAGCAATGCAACATTCCAGGTAAAGCAATACCACTAAATGAGGTTGCTGAATTGTCTCAGCTACTGATCATTGCAAACCATGAGAAATAAGCACCCTTAAGATGCATCTTCTATGCAGAAAACTAACAGCTAAGAAGTAAGAACACAAACACCTGCAAAAGAAAGCAAAGCAAGCCCTAAAAAACAGCTTTGTTCAAAATAGCAAGTAACGGACTGTATCACAGCTAAAGGACAGTACAGAGAGCACTTCTCCTGCCTGCAAAGCAGAAACACATTAACACATTTAATAAAACAATGCCCTCTTGAACTAAGAGGCTGTTGAAAGATGTATCCAGCACAAGCACAAAAAAAGCAGAGTGCATCAAGGTTGTGGATTAAACAGGTTTCTAACACATAAATAATGTAATGATCCAGTCCAGGCATCATTTGCTGCTACTTCTGCTTGGTGAAGATGCATTCCTGCTTACAATTCTGCATATTACAATGGAGTGCAAAAAATATTTTAATAAACTATCTTCTGACTCTCAGGCTAAGCTGAAGAGCCTTGTAAGGCTATGCTTCTCCACAGCTTTAATCGATTTCAGCTATAACTTCATTTGCTATGCCTAACAGACAGTGTAAACTTCACTCTTCCCAAGAATTAAGAAGAAAATAACATTTCATACTCCCCCATAAGCAGTGTATGGAAAGCACAAAACAGAACCGCTGCACACATACCCCCCAATTAAATTGGTCTCTGTGGAAACTAATAACTTTCCACAGTATGCACTGTAATCCAAGTAATAATTTTAAACAGGCATAAGCTGCAGTGTGCTGAACTAAGGCATTCTTACCTTGTGAAGAGTGCTTGAAGACATTTAGTCACAGTAAAAGAGAAGAATGTGCATGTTGCCAAGTATTTCCTATGTAAAGGGGATATGCTTTACCCCACATTCGCGCACGCACACCCAAACTGGGTGCATGTGCTTCCTAGGTAGAGAAAGAGCACCAGAAAAGATAGGCAGCACCGATAATGCCCCAGCTTTATGTCTCAATCAGTAGCGAGTTAAGCTGGAGGAACCATTTGAGATGAAAAGGGAAACAATTCCAAGAAACAAGATTTTTTTCTCCTCTGGATGCACAGAGCTTTGCTTTGGTGACCTATAATACCTTAACAAAAAAATCTTCACAACCCACCTCCCTCCTGAGCCAGTGAGTTGCACATGTCAAATGACAATGCACAAACAATGCACAAAGACTTTAAAAAAATATTAAAGAATCCCTTACCTTTTAGTCAGAATAAGTGACAGATAACAGTGATGAGAAACTCAGTTGGCACAGTTGCTGTACGTATTTCTCAGCGGACTTCTTTTTAGTGGTCCCAAAAGCACTGAACATAAAAAACCTCCAGCCTGCCTGCTTCATTCTTCAGCAACAGAGATACATGCTGTCACGGTAACGCAAAAGAAAAAGCAAAAAGAACTATAGATCTTAGTTTTTAAAGCTTTTGTGCTTATAGGGAAGAAAAAGAGGGAGTGGGGAAAAGAAGGAACAGAGCAAACACTTTTTCTAAGAGAAATGTGGTCTTGGTTGTAGAAGTAACCACAACAGAGAAGCATTCAGTTTGAATTTCCCTGTTTGCAAGCTCCTTGGGAAAAATAAGAAAAAAATTTCAATCTTTAGGGAAAAAGAATCAAATGCATGGATGGGGGAAGGGAGAGGAGGAGGGTACTGCTCCTATGTGACATACATATGGAATGAGCATTAGAACAATGCTGACAGGACAGCTAAGCAACTGCACTCTGGGGCAGCAGTTTTTAAAGCAGAGCTTTTGCAGCTTTGCAGAAAGGAGAGGAAAACAATTCATATAATAAAAAAAGAGCCCTCCGCAAAGGGGAAAAAAAAGAAAAAGGAAGGAAAAAGAAAAGAAAGGAGCTCTTAATTCAAGAAGAACTGCAGACTTAAAAAAAGAAAAAAATAAAAAGAGTTGGCTAATTTCTGAAAGGTGGGGGGGGGCCGGTGGGAACCGCCGTGACTGCTTCCCAGCGATGCAAGCAGAAGCCTTGATGTCTAGTGCACTTACATTTTATGCGGCGCACAGTGGGTCCCCTCCTCCCTGCCTGCCTCTCTCCTTCCCTCCCTCCCTCCCTCCTTCCCTCCGCCCTCCCTGCCTAGGAAGCTCTCTCTCCCAGGGGACAGGAATTCCAGTGGACCCAATTAACACTATACTTTGCCGGCTCCTTGGTATGATCGATATTAAATAAGAGGAGTTTTAGCAGCACTGAAAAATAAAGCAGCCATGTAATGTGTGGCTGATGGAGACTGCATTTTTTTTCCCCCCTACTTCCCCTACCCCCCAATCTCAAAACGATCCAATGCAGCAGGAAAAAAAAACAATTTCAAAAGCATGCGCCAGTACCAGTGATACAAACTGCATCAGATATTTGTTAGAAACTTAACGGAAGCCCTCGATTGCTCATTTCAGTAGCTTGGGCAGTACTTTATTAAAGTGGATTTACAAATCAATGGAAGGAATCCAAATGTTCACAAACAGGCTCTTTCATCAGGTCCGCTGCCTGACCGTAAAGGAAGTTTGCTGAAGGGGTCTGGGGGCTGTTTCGCCAGCACACTTGTTTTCAATGGGCTCCCAACAACATGACTTGTTTGGTTTGGTTAAAGAAAGGCAGTAAGAGGTTCATTGCTTTAAGGGAATGCAGCCTAGTGTGTTTACTGCCTCATTCCTGAAGCACGTGTTACAAGGCATCCTACAAATTGCAAATGATTTTAATTTGAACGGGGAAGTGATTGGGAGGCAGTAGCCTTCTTTGGTCCTGTTTTCCCTGATCTATCAATCACAGATTGCTATGTAAAAACAGTCTACTACAGGCTCTCTCTATAGAGGAAAAGCAATTACTAGCATTAACTCTTGCCATTGCAAATTAATACAATACAGTCCACAGCTGATAGAGTCTGCCTGCAAGCCATTAATCTAAGAATAAATGGGTGGTTTGCTTAAAACCAACTGGTCTGAAATTCTCAGGTTAAGAGCTCCCTTCTCCCTTTCCACATTTCCCTTTGTATTTGTAAAAGTCAGTGGACAGAAATGAAAGCCCTATTTATTTGCTGTGGCCAGTACAACTCCAAGCTAACAATATCCATCAGTGAAACTGCCTACAATACAGGATTTCACCACCAGTAGCTGCTTTCCCTTTTTTGTTTCTGGGGTGGCCATAATCTTCAAATTAAACCCAATAAACAGCACTGAGTAATATCCTTCACTGAACAGCTGGGTTGACCACTGACTTGAATCCATCTTGTTAAATTAATATTAGATTGCATTTACATACAAATAAGATCAATTAAAAATACTCATAAAACCATGCGACCAAAGGCAGTGAAGAGTTAAATTAATTAACTCAAAAAGCCTCCAAATAAATAATGTTAACGTTAGGATTCTCCTTCTAGCTGGCAGAGGGAAAAAAAACAGCAGCAGGCCAAATTCCTATTAGTGACTACAAGCAGTAGATCCAAATATCACACTGCTTGTCACAAATTCTGTATGAAGCCTAGTAACACCCTTCACAGTTAGATAAACGTGGGGTATGCTGAAAACCCAAGCAATGGTCAACAGATATCACAACTAATTATCAAAACCCCAACAGATATCACAAACTAAAGGTTTATTTACATGGGAAGATCCAAAAGAGTGTACCTATATTGCTTACACACATGAAGTCGCACTTCTTGAGCTACAGTAATTCCAGGGTCATGTACTTGCACCTGTACTCAGGAGGAAGACGCTGCACTTCACATGTACTGACTTGACAAATATCATCTAGATGGCATGGTTTTTTCATGCAAAAAGAGTCATGGAAGAAGTAACCCACTTAACATGGCATAAAGCAGGCAATGCTGGGTGACAATTTGAATGAGAGGAAAATTAAAAAACCTTCACTGGAAATCACAGAAAATCATGTATGTTGTCATGCTTCACAGTTGTTACTGATCCAGCACCACAGCATGGTAAACATACTGGATTTGAAATGAGATGCAGAGATTGCTGATAATACCAACCTAATGGTCCAGAGCTGGCAAAATTACATTCCATTTTCAGTCTCCTACTCTAAATTAGGGGGCAGTGCTAACTGGCTAAAGTGTCCCCGAAAGTGGCCCCAACCTTGTCCAGAACTCCTCTCTTGGCAAGGGGATCAAAGCACTTGGCAAGTGTTTTGGGATCTCATCGGAGTGAATGAACACATACATACACCACTTGCCCTGGAAATCAAATTGTTTACATAGAAAACCACTACAATAAAAACATAATCCACTGAACCTATCCTGGCTGTGGAAGCCCAGTGGGTAGCTAGATTTTGGGAAAGGTTGAGGTTTACAGCTGCAGAGGGGAACATAAATGCTCTTGGAATCCATAAATGATCCATCAGTTGATCTGTCATCTCAACACTCCTAGGCACTAGGAAAGTCATTATTATCCCCATTTTGGAGATGATGATTTGAACACTGAAAGCCTAAACTGCCTCCCCAAGGAGATGCACAAAATGTTGGAGAGTAGTAGGAAACTGATTCCGGGCTTTTCAAGTCCCTTACTTGCAAAGACTGTTTCAAACACGATCAACTGAATTTGATGCATTTTTAAAGTCAAGCCTTGTTCCTTAAAAAAATATCAGCACCATTCTAGTCTACTCTTAAGTACGAATTAAAGCACCATTCATGGTACTTAAAAATTATCTGTTCTGCTTAAGAAATCTGCAAGAGTATAGACTAATATACTATACACAAACAAAAATTTACATCATTTTACTAAAAAATAATTTGAAGATCATTTGACAATTAGGATTAAAGTCCCAGTTTGGTAGAACATTTCAAGCCAGTGGGGAATTCCATAGAAGAACAACTCGTAAGTGTGAAGAAAAAGGGACAGAAAACATTTTTTAAAATAAGCTAGTGTGCCAGTATCAAACCAAGTTATTGGTTAATATCTACTTAAAATAGAAAATCTTGAATACCACAGTGAAAGTCCCAGTCCCTAACTGCAAAGAGAACAACCCCTGCTGTTGCTGGAGGCAGGGAAAGAGGGATGTGCTGCTGCCCTGATCTGGGCGAGAGGTTCCTACAAAGAGTCTCCCATGCACTGACGCCTTGGTGAGCTACCAGTGCTGCCTGGAGACCGTGCTCTCCCATGACACCCTCTGCACACTCTACCTGACAGAAATGGTTCCTGGAGATCAGCATGACCCAACACACGGGCCCACCATTTCTGCCACCATCAGAGCTGGTGTCTTGATGACTCCAAAAATATAATCCACAGAACAGGACATATTTAGCTTAAAACAATTTGCAGGAAGAAGCATTGTTCTCAGAATTTGCTTTATTCTCATGAAAGACAACTCTACAGAAGCTGTAAGGAGTACCTACAGAAGTCTAAGCTGGGAAGATGTATCTGAGATAAAGAGTTTCTACCAGAAGAGAAAGAAGTCAGTATTTAATATTTGAGGGCAGGAACTAATAATTGCTAATGGGGCAGTACCATATGACCCAGAAGAAAAGGTATAAAATTCTTTCTTTTCTCCTTCAGAAACTATATTGAGAAGTGCCAGCATTTACAACACACTTTGGAGAATTCTAATCTATCTAGGTGCTCCCCAAGAACCTATGACTGAAACTGCAAACATGGGAGATTAGCTATGTAAAGATACATGGTGTAACAGAATTTGTAAAAGCTAATCCACTTTATTACAGACATCATCAGCTCTGTTCATTATATAAACCTCCCAATTCTACTGTTCTCAAAGACTACAGCCTTTGGCACTATTTAAAGTTGCTTACACTTTCTTTCTAATATACTCCTTTTGATTATTAAAAGGCAAATAAATTGGTAGGTTTTTCTCTCTTCCTTTATATTCATTTTCATACAGTACAATAAATTATAGAAATTAAAAAGAAAAAGACATTTAACTAAATATACTTTGGCTTCAAAACATCAATACTTAGAAACAAGGCTGAACACACAGCAATGTGGTCTTTGCTCAAGAATGTGAAAAAATGCCTGCAGATATTTTAAATACTTACCAAATGAGGGGGATGTATATCAGGTTGCAGAGCTCTGGATTACACATACTTTCAAGAGATGATGATTCATGTTAATGTACATCAGTAGGGTTGGAGGTTTGCTTTGTTCTTTTTAATTTCTAATTACATTTTACTAGAAGAATAAACAGAAAGAACACATAAAGCCAGAAACTAAATCTAAACTAAAATAAAGGAAAAACAACCTTTTAAGGCACTTAACATCAGAGAAGGTTAGTCAGCCAATTACAATTTACAACCACGCAGTAAACCAATGGTGAGGTTCAGCTGACTAATGCTCTGCACCATTATGTAGCAAGTACCAAAGGTAAAAGGCCAATTTCCTATTTGAAAATTGGGTTTCAGCAATGTGCAGCCACCATTCTACGGGGCCGGGTGATTACCTCCCCATCGGTACCCACCACAGAGAAATGGAGCTGCAGCACCCACTGCCTCCCCTTCCATGTCTGAGCTCTTCAGATGGTGCCCATACCCCCCAGCTAAGCATGGGGGGCTCACTGTACTCTATGCCAAATCAACCATGCTTTGGTGAACTGGGATTTGGAAAGTCTCATTTAAATCCTCATGATGCCAACAAACTCTAAAGACACTTTATGTCAAATGACCAATCAATCTTATTGGATCTTATTTTCACATTTTTAGGTCTTTATTCAGTGGGTGCAAAAACAGACCCTCCTGAGAAAGGTGCAACAAAATATAACAAAAATTTAGAAAACAATAGCTGTTTCTTACCATTCCCACCAGAGATGCTCTTGC